TGGATAGTGTTGCGGCGTGGGGATGCGCAGTAGCGCTTCGATTTGGTCGGAGAGCGGACCTTTCTCTCCTGGGACAGACTATAACAATATAAACAGTCATATCTTGTGCATATTGCTGTGATTAAAAGAAACAAGATTAGCCGTGTACAGAAGGTTACGTCAAATTATTACCCAAGCCACAGACTAAAACTACAAATTTTACTATACAATAAAAATGCTGAATCAAAATATTCACTACTTGTTTAAAGTAACAAAATATTGAGTTTGTAGTTTTATTTTATATTTTCTAGTGACAATATATTCAAGAATACAAATTTCACCGCCTAGTAGTGTAATTTAGCCAGATCACAGTATCCCTAAAATTTATAATGATTGTAACATATTTAAAAAAATGGAATGATAACAGAAGTCCTAAACCATGCATCTGACATTATAAAGCAGTGGTTCCCAACCGGTGGTCCGTGGACTCATCTTAAGTGGCCGCGAATAAAAAAATTTAAATTTAAAAAAATGAGCGAAATTATACTTGATATTTTTTATTATTAACGGCTTAGCGCCTAACAGCCAGATAACACAATATCGCGACCGATGACAATTTATGTACGGATATAAATAACATTAGGTCATGCGGGTATAGCTGAATTTTGATAAATATGTATCGGCGTTTTTCCACTACACTACTATATTACGTTAACTATTAAACATTATTATTATTATTATTATTATTAACAAACTCAATATTTTGTTACTTTAAACAAGTAGTAAAAATTCTGATTCAGAATTTTTAGTGTTTAGTAAAATTGGTAGTTTTAGCCTGGGGCTTGGGTCATAATTTGACGTAACCTTCTGTACACGGCTAATCTTGTTTCTTTTAATCANTTATAGTCTGTCCCAGGAGAGAAAGGTCCGCTCTCCGACCAAATCGAAGCGCTACTGCGCATCCCCACGCCGCAACACTATCCATTTATTCCCTCCCGGGTCTATCGACAGGTTTTGTACACTGCGTTTCAAATAATGCACTGTTGTCTGTCGATAGTCCACTGTTTATCGCCAATTGCCGTGATGTACGCACACGTCATTTTTACAGCGTTTACTTTTTTGTGCCATTTGATAATTTAAAATATAATTATTTATTATTTATTAAATATATATCTCTGTATTATGCCTACTGAATTATACCTACAGTGTTCAATAAGATATTAAATAAATAATTATGTATACAATTGATACCGGCATATGATACCGTATGGCTCGAAGGGCTTATCACTAATCTTCTACGAGTTATACCATGCAAAACAATAAGTGGTATCATAAATAGTATGCTGAGTAACAGATTTCTCACAGTAACCATAGGTAATATTAAAAGCATGCAAAGAACCCTAAATAACGAACTGCCACAAGGCTCTGTACTAGCTCCCTTACTATTCAACTTATACACCAGTGACCTACCCAACACCAAGTCCAATAAGTTCGTTTACGCAGACGATATAGCTCTCCTATGTCAAGAAAAGACATACGAACTCTGCGAAAAATATGTAATGGTATATGTAGGTATAATTCAGAAGATATGATACAGAGATATAAATTTAATAAATAATAAATAATTATATTCAAAATTACCAAACGGTACAAAAAAGTAAACGCTGTAAAAATGACGTGTGCGTACACCACGGCAATTGGCGATAAACAGTGGACTATCGACAGACAACAGTGCATTATTTGAAACGCAATGTACAAAACCTGTCGATAGATCCGGGAGGGAATAAATGGATAGTGTTGCGGCGTGGGGATGCGCAGTAGCGCTTCGATTTGGTCGGAGAGCGGACCTTTCTCTCCTGGGACAGACTATAACAATATAAACAGTCATATCTTGTGCATATTGCTGTGATTAAAAGAAACAAGATTAGCCGTGTACAGAAGGTTACGTCAAATTATTACCCAAGCCACAGACTAAAACTACAAATTTTACTATACAATAAAAATGCTGAATCAAAATATTCACTACTTGTTTAAAGTAACAAAATATTGAGTTTGTTAATAATAATAATAATAATAATAATGTTTAATAGTTAACGTAATATAGTAGTGTAGTGGAAAAACGCCGATAAATATTTATCAAAATTCAGCTATACCCGCATGACCTAATGTTATTTATATCCGTACATAAATTGTCATCGGTCGCGATATTGTGTTATCTGGCTGTTAGGCGCTAAGCCGTTAATAATAAAAAATATCAAGTATAATTTCGCTCATTTTTTTAAATTTAAATTTTTTTATTCGCGGCCACTTAAGATGAGTCCACGGACCACCGGTTGGGAACCACTGCTTTATAATGTCAGATGCATGGTTTAGGACTTCTGTTATCATTCCATTTTTTTAAATATGTTACAATCATTATAAATTTTAGGGATACTGTGATCTGGCTAAATTACACTACTAGGCGGTGAAATTTGTATTCTTGAATATATTGTCACTAGAAAATATAAAATAAAACTACAAACTCAATATTTTGTTACTTTAAACAAGTAGTGAATATTTTGATTCAGCATTTTTATTGTATAGTAAAATTTGTAGTTTTAGTCTGTGGCTTGGGTAATAATTTGACGTAACCTTCTGTACACGGCTAATCTTGTTTCTTTTAATCACAGCAATATGCACAAGATATGACTGTTTATATTGTTATAGTCTGTCCCAGGAGAGAAAGGTCCGCTCTCCGACCAAATCGAAGCGCTACTGCGCATCCCCACGCCGCAACACTATCCATTTATTCCCTCCCGGATCTATCGACAGGTTTTGTACATTGCGTTTCAAATAATGTACTGTTGTCTGTCGATAGAACACTGTTTATCGCCAATTGCCGTGGTGTACGCACACGTCATTTTTACAGCGTTTACTTTTTTGTACCGTTTGGTAATTTTGAATATAATTATTTATTATTTNACTACACACTATAGAAGCCAAATCAACATTAAATTCGTTATATTATTGAATAACATTGAAAAGTGCAGTATCAGATTAATTTTTTTAATTGCATATTTTTATTTGTATACCTAAAAATATTATGAACCTGTAAAAAATTACCTCATTTGGATCTGTTTGGTAATGTTTTTTTGTGAATTTGTTACAAATTGGTGCCTATAGAGGAACATTTAGATATTTTCATAACATCTTAAAATTTGTCTATATTGTAATATAATATACATACAACAGAGAAAATATTTTCCTTTATAATAAGTATTATACTACGGATTGGTTCAGGGTATTTGGATCAATTTTATTAAGAAGTATTAACACATAAATTGTAGATTTTCTGATTAAAATAGTTCAGAAACTTAAATTCCAAAATAGGAAGTGACTTAGTTAAATTTATTAAAATAGTATAATTAATGATATATTATATATAGTAATTATGCATATTAATTATACAAGAAATATATTATTAGCTTTATTCAATTTTAACGTGTATGAATATTAGGGTGGTCCTTATGTATAGATGATGAAATTTTTTTTTTAAATTTTTGATTGGACCACCCCTGGAATTTGTTCAAAACAACAAAATAATGATTTGTGTGAAGTTTTGTAAATATTGATTAACCCTAAGGCGTGCCTCAGGAGGGTTGAAGTTCAAAGAAGGGTGGTTTTTCGATTTTTGCAATTTCGGCCTAAAATATTTAAGTTAGGCAAAAAAGTGCTTTAACATATTATTTTTTAAATTGAATATGCTATAAAAAATGTAACTTGTACTTTTTTTGTTTAATTACTCATTCCAACACAAAATAAAAAAAACTCGTATTTAATATATTTTACATGATTATTTCGGTTAACAGCGTTAGGCGTACAGTTAACACGTTGGGTTTGTAGGTATTAAACCATCATAGTTTTACTATCTAATCAAATTAAGTAGGTAGATATTGTAGATAATCTTTGGTGTTCCACTATATTATTCCACTATATCTTTATTAAGATTATAGTGAATAACTAAATAAAATTATCATTGGGATTTTACAATTAACTATTAGCGTCTACAGATTATTATTAAATAACACGTTATAGCGATAAAGCTTATTTATGCTTGTAAGTATTTAGTTGTTGGACGGTCGTCGATCACGATATCGTTCTTGTGTTATTTTGTTTGTTTTTACGTTAGTTCAATGTAGTTATTCATTTATATGTTTTCCGTTGTTTTTTTAATTAATGTTAAAGTGTTGTAATAATATGACGGACAAAATTAATTTGCGTGAAAATATTTATTTAATTAAACATACTACACATCAACTTTTTGGTTGTAAATTACCTTCAAATAAACAAGTTCTAAGGGTTTTATTTCATAATATGCGTGAAGTCAAATTGAGTCTACGAGATAGTGCTCGATTAGTCATACGATTTTCTCCATAGCCAACACCACCCTGTAGCTTTAAACATTGGAATACAGATTCCAATAGTAAAATAATCACTCCTGATACCCAGATGGAATTTCAATAAAGCCAACTGGAATGAATTTAGCAAACTTGACGACTGTATCAGATGGATAAGACCAGAAGTTAAAAACTACGATCGTTTTACTGGCTTTATGATTGGGATAGCTAAAAAACATATACCTAGAGGATACAGAAAAGAATACATCCCGGGTTGGAGCCAAGATAGCGAAGATTTATACAAAGAATACAAAGAAACGAATGATAACCTTGTAGCTGACGAACTTCTTTTCTCCCTCTCAAAAACCCGCAGGGAAAAATGGATTAAGACAGTTGAAGAAATGAATTTCAAAAAGCCAAGCAGGAAAGCTTGGAATTTACTAAGAAAAATAGATCCTAACACCAAGCGAAAACATATCGCTGTGAAAATCAAGGCTGACCACTTCGCGAACCGCATCATCGAGCTATCCAGAGCAAAAGTTGATAAAAACGCAACAAAAATATTAAAAAAGAACTGAAAGAATTGAAAAAGAACGGAGAAATGAGAACAAATTTTGCGAACGATTTCACCGAACATGAAATTCAAACAGCAATCCAAGCAATTAAAACTGGTAAAGCAGCGGGCTTCGACGAAGTACATCCAGAATTCCTAAAACACTGTGGACTTAAGACTCGTCAATGGCTAGCAGTGTTCTTTACAAATATGCTATGTTCTGGAAAATTTCCTAAACAATTCAAGACAAAAGTCCTGGCTATTTTAAAACCAGGGAAACCTGATAATGATGTCAAAAGCTACCGACCAATATCCCTATTGAGTGTTAACTACAAGGTCTTCGAAAGACTTATATATAACCGAATTGCAGAAACTGTAAATAAAACTATTCCGATAGAACAGGCCGGATTTAAACCAAACAGGAATTGCTGTAACCAAGTTCTGTCGCTGACCGCAAACATCAAAGATGGCTTTGAAAAAGGGTTAAAATCTGCTGCAGTCTTCATAGATCTTACGGCGGCATATGATACCGTATGGCGCGAAGGGCTTATCACTAATCTTCTACGAGTTATACCATGCCAAACAATAAGTGGTATCATAAATAGTATGCTGAGTAACAGATTTCTCACGGTAACCATAGGTAATAGTAAAAGCATGCAAAGAACCCTAAATAACGGAATGCCACAAGGCTCTGTACTAGCTCCCTTACTATTCAACTTATACACCAGTGACCTACCCAACACCAAGTCCAATAAGTTCGTTTACGCAGACGATATAGCTCTCCTATGTCAAGAAAAGACATACGAACTCTGCGAAAAATATGTAATGGTATATGTAGGTATAATTCAGAAGATATGATACAGAGATATAAATTTAATAAATAATAAATAATTATATTCAAAATTACCAAACGGTACAAAAAAGTAAACGCTGTAAAAATGACGTGTGCGTACACCACGGCAATTGGCGATAAACAGTGGACTATCGACAGACAACAGTGCATTATTTGAAACGCAATGTACAAAACCTGTCGATAGATCCGGGAGGGAATAAATGGATAGTGTTGCGGCGTGGGGATGCGCAGTAGCGCTTCGATTTGGTCGGAGAGCGGACCTTTCTCTCCTGGGACAGACTATAACAATATAAACAGTCATATCTTGTGCATATTGCTGTGATTAAAAGAAACAAGATTAGCCGTGTACAGAAGGTTACGTCAAATTATTACCCAAGCCACAGACTAAAACTACAAATTTTACTATACAATAAAAATGCTGAATCAAAATATTCACTACTTGTTTAAAGTAACAAAATATTGAGTTTGTAGTTTTATTTTATATTTTCTAGTGACAATATATTCAAGAATACAAATTTCACCGCCTAGTAGTGTAATTTAGCCAGATCACAGTATCCCTAAAATTTATAATGATTGTAACATATTTAAAAAAATGGAATGATAACAGAAGTCCTAAACCATGCATCTGACATTATAAAGCAGTGGTTCCCAACCGGTGGTCCGTGGACTCATCTTAAGTGGCCGCGAATAAAAAAATTTAAATTTAAAAAAATGAGCGAAATTATACTTGATATTTTTTATTATTAACGGCTTAGCGCCTAACAGCCAGATAACACAATATCGCGACCGATGACAATTTATGTACGGATATAAATAACATTAGGTCATGCGGGTATAGCTGAATTTTGATAAATATTTATCGGCGTTTTTCCACTACACTACTATATTACGGTAACTATTAAACATTATTATTATTATTATTATTATTAACAAACTCAATATTTTGTTACTTTAAACAAGTAGTAAAAATTCTGATTCAGAATTTTTAGTGTTTAGTAAAATTGGTAGTTTTAGCCTGGGGCTTGGGTCATAATTTGACGTAACCTTCTGTACACAGCTAATCTTGTTTCTTTTAATCACAGCAATATGCACAAGATATGACTGTTTATATTGTTATAGTCT